AAAAAAACAAGTGACACCGAGCTATTTTCAAAGTAGAACGAACGCCAACAAACATTGCTCGAACAAGATAAAAGTAAAAATATGTTGTTTCTATTAAAATAAGACTTAAATTAATTTGTAACAACAAGATGCAAAATCCAAAACAACATTTCAAATTTATACAATCACGTTTCAAGAAGAAATAACCATAATAACGTTTGTCTCATTTCCTCTTCAAACATTTGTGTTTATATCTTTGGACAAATAAAAATTTCCCTATAAACTTTTTTTTTACGAGTTAATTATGATACATATGAAAGCGTAATTTAAATATATTTAATATCATACTTACGTTTTGTTAATATTAAATAATACACGTAATTTAAATATATTTATTTTCATACTTAGTTTTTGTTAATATTTAAATAATACATAAATATTTGTGTTTCACTTTATAAATATCTACATAAATATAAATTTAAAGTATGATGCCCTTATAAGTAATTTTATATGTTAACAGTTATATAAAAATAGCTAATTTTACCAAATACTCTTTTACAAACCGCTAACACAATCAGCTGGTCAATACATCTAACATAATCCATTGGTCAAAGCAGCTAATACAATCCGCTAACAGAATAATATATAGGGAGGATATCACTGTGAGAACTTGTAAGAAAATTTTGTAAGAAAATTTATACAGAAAGAAAATAAAAATCAATTTGAACAAGGAGCAATGACAATTTTTTATTTTATTCTTTTTGTACGAAAGTAGTTTAATTTGTTATAATTTTTTATTCTATCCAATCAACTACATAATCTCAAGACTTATAAATGGTGTGCATAATTCGACTAAAGCCGAACAAACTGACTGAAAACGACCGAACCAAAAATTGTTGTTCTGTTTTTATCCGACTCGGTCGGTCTTCGGTTTCAGGCTTTAGCATATAATTGTTCGGTTATTTCGGCCAGTTTTTTTCGGTTTCTGGAATTCAAATATCCAAATAAACCGAACCGACCGAATATATATACATTGATATTTAATATTTATTATTATATTATAATAAATATATTAGATTATAATATAATAATTTCAATAACCCAATAAATCGTATGGTACACAGACTTTTCAAACGGCCGTCTGTTCCATCTCCCTTCCCAAATCGCCGTCGGGCTCCCTTCCCCAAATCCTCCGCCGTCCCCAATCTACTGCCGTCGATCCTCCTCCCCCCTAAATCGTCCAAATCCAAATCATCTTTTCTGTAAAAAATCATTCCAGAAGCTGCGTCTGTGACTCCTTCTCGCCGGTCAAGGAACTCCTTGTCGCCGGTCGTCGAACCGTCGGTCGAGGGCGCTGAGCTTGGAGGTTTCGGCCGGGAACACGGTTGTTCACCGTCAAGGGCGAATTTGTCTCCCTCCCAAAATCTCAGTTCCATCTCAAATCAAGGTACAAAGCCTTTTTTGTTTCATTTTCTAATTGCAGACTGGTGGGGAACATGATGCATGTGTTGTGAATTGTGAGATGTTTATGTTGACTGAATTCGTTAATCATGTATGTATGTTTGTGAGAATCTTGTATGCATGTTCTACTTTCTGATTCATCCTGTTGGGAATGCTTATGAATTCTGAATCTTATGAATTCTGATCATGTATGCTTAGATCTGTACAAAAAAGAAAATAATTCGGTTAACCGACCGAATTATTCGGTTCGGTTAATTTTCGGTTTTAAGCATACATTTCAGTCGGTTCAGTTTTTGACTTATAGCATTTCGGTTAATTCGGTTTTCGTTGTTCGGCCGCTCTCGATCGACCGAACCGACCGATGAACACCCCTGCATACAATAATTATACTGAATGTATTTATACAACTCTTCTTTCTTCTCATCTTCTTCAATTTCATCTATGTACTTTAGACCATCTTCGCGCATATCAATATCAGACTATGTGACCTTTAATAATTAATAAGCGATGGAACGATATAAATTAATAAAAAAAAAAATCACCAATTAAATGTAAATAATTCCAATACCAAACATGCATGAAAATTCATATAGTTCATAGTAGAAAATATAAAAACCAAGTCCAACCTACTCAAAACAATGAACATAGACCTTGAAGTTCATAGTAATCATATTATATATAAATCATCTCAACTTATATGCTATCCACTCAGCTCGTTCATCTGGGGACATGTTAAAAAACTCTGATTTTTTGCTTTAGTATTAAGCAAATCAAGAGCTTTGAAACGATCCTCAGAATTTAAGCCTGGAATTTCCTTAATCAGTCCCTACAGTTGTACTCTTTTGTGTTAATTGATTCAATACGAGTAAACTCCAGATTGCTAATACATAGCTAGAAAACTCAAGTTCTTTCACATGCCATGAAGATCTAGACTGTTTTAATGATAATTTCCACTCAAATGCAGCATACTGGTTGATGATTCTTGTATAATCATGATTCCAGGTGATATGCTAATACAAAATCAACTAAGAGTTTTACTGGGTACAGTGAAGAGTCGTCTCATTACAGTACATAAAATGACGAACATTTGACATATAGTGTCAGTTAAGAAATTTATTAAAATCATGTTATGTTAGGTATGCTACTAAGGGAAGAGATCCTTTGTGTATGCTGCAATTAGGACATATGTAAAAACAACAATATGAACGGCAATGAATATCGAGATAAGAATATAATAAAGCAAGGAAAACAGACAACCAGAAGCATGCAAAATATAAGCTTATAAGCAATAACTTCACTTCCTACAAGCTACTGCAATATATAAAAGATATTCAATAGACGGTTGAAAATATTATTATCAGAATAAAATAAAAATTGGCATTCCACTTTCCAGATAGGTTGAGCACACACAAAAAAGATAAATCCAATTTGATGCACTTATCACAACCACAATTGTCATAGAGATAGAATCTAATTGGCAATCATCTAAGCATGAAATTTTATAAAAGAACAATTTTATTAAACATAAAGCGGGAAAAAAGGTAATCGTTCATGTCTGCGTTTTAAACATAATCACAAGAACAGTGTGGTACCTTTTAGAACAGATGAAAGTGTTAGAAGATAGACTGTCCTTCATAAGAGAAATCGTCCCCCTCGTAAACTCTCTCAAAATCTGAGATTTGTAATGGGATTTGGTGTATATAATTTCCCACTAAAATCTCTCTAAGTCCAAATAAATGACAGATCCAAAAGAATTCAAAATGAAATGAATATCTCTTGATATTATGGGACTTTATCCATATTGAATTGAAAATCCTAATTGAATACCTCTAGATTTTTTAAATTATTAAAAAGTCTCATTTAAATACACCTAGATTTCATAAGTTCTAAAAAGTCTTTAGGATTCTTAAAAAAATACACCCCCCTTAGTTTCTTATAAAACACCCGTGTAGTTCACGGTGTTGTACTAGTTGTAAAATATTGATTACTAGCCTTGAATTCATAATATTTTCCAAAATAATACAAACCCGTGCTAGTCTTTTTTAATATTGGCACAACTCAATATGACATAATATAATAAAAAAAATATAAAATATACGTTAATGCATAAATATAAGAATAGATGATAAATATCATAATCATTATTTTACTCAAAAATTTTTCTCATAACAATTTTTATGCACAAGTCACCAAACCACATGAGGTGGGGGTAATTAAAAAATAATAATAATAAAAAAAATATCTAGGTCAAAAGCATTTTTTTTTTTGTTCACAACAATTGAGAACAGCATCCAAACTCATTGCATATAATAATTTTATGAATTGGAAAAAAACATTGGAAATTTGCGTGCAGTAGTTTTTGGAAATTCAGTTCTAAATGAAGGTTTTACCCTCATTTTTCATTCTGCGCAGGGGAAGGCCTAATCTCAATGTCTCCGTTCAAACCACCGTCGCTGACGCGCCTGGTATCCTGCCGGAATTTATTCCGGCAGCAGAAATCGAATTTTTATAGTTGCAGCCAGAATCGGCACCTGAATCGCATTTCTGGTACTGTGGCTTTTCCTTCGTCGGATAAAATTGTAGACCGTCGTTACAAGAATTATAAAATCTCGGATTTCGTAAATTCATCAAGTGCTGGCGGAGATGTTTTCCAGAAAAGAGGCTTTTTGGGTTGCTCCGATGGCGGAGAGGGGAGCAATCTATCCAAAGTGTACGAAGAAAGACGTGTTTTAGGGTAAGTTTCTTTTTAATTATGTTGTTTATGTTCTATCATTTTTATTCGTTATTTATTAATTTTTTTGTTTATGGAACAACAAATTGATGTTGAATAGAGAATTTATAATGCTCGGAGAAATAATGGGATTGCATGTGGTTTTTGAAGTCAATCTTTGGGTTGAGTTGTGAAATTTTTTAATTTGGTGCCACAATTGAATTTAGTAATTTTAAGTGAAATGCTAGCTGGAAGGTGGATCATTCAGTGAAGGGTTGAATGGATATTGCTATGGGTTATTCATCAAATTATAACATCATTTCGTTTTTGGTATGATAAAAAGGAAAATTCTCAGTAGTTAGGGTAAAATGTAGGAGGGAGATTGGCATGTGAAGTATGATAAGGTTTTGAGCACCTCAACATCATCTGTTACATTCAATCTAGTTCTCTTAATAGTTTTAATTGGTGTGCCTTGGCAGAGGTCATTGAAAATCTCTTCTCCGAAGCCTAGGGCGCAAGAGGTTGCTGATGCGGGTGCCTCTTGCTATCATCTCTCGTGCCCATGGCACATGCCTTGCCAATGAAACATACAAACTTTACGCAGACATTTATGAAATAGTTCTAGGTTGCTCTTTGACACTTTTAAGATGTTTTATAAATAAATCCCATCTCTTCCCCCAACAAATGCACATCCAGCATAGTGGACGCAAAAACTAGTGTTTAGGTCCAAAATAGTTACTCAAGGAAGATAGTTACCCTTTGCGAATGAAGGCTGCCATCCGCCTAACCAGCTCTATATCCAGCCTCCCTGGCTTGTTTCTGTTTTGAATCTTGATGAACTTTGTCTGTGTGCTAATTCTCCATGGTGGTTTATCTGACTCGTGATATGATATCATTTTTTTCAGTGCTACATGCCTTGTGACTTGAATAGTTGTGTGGTTGTGATTCTTTAAGTTGATTCTACAATCTGTGCTTAAATATGTATTATCGTTTTATTTCTTTTCTTTCTTCCCAACGATGGCCTTGCTTTATGGATCGAGACCAGGTCGTGAGCAAATTGCCACGGCTCACCTTTTTCCTTTAATAACTATGCATTCAAGCTAGCTAAGCATATCTGTTCATGGTAAAATGCATTTTTTGCTTTTAATAATTTTGAGATATAAGCTAATCAATTGTCTTTCGTTTCCTTCCATTGTTATTTTCTTTCTTCTTTTCTCCTTAATAGATACTCACAGGAACAATTGTTCAATGTGGTTGCTGGTGTTGATATGTACCAAGAATTTCTTCCTTGGTGTCAAAGGTCAGAAATAATTCGGCGCAATCCTGATGGAACTTTTGATGCTGAATTAGAAATCGGGTTTAAATTTCTCGTTGAAAGCTATATATCCCATGTGGAACTAAGCAAACCGAATTCTATTAAGGTGAACAATCACTTTGAGTGTCATCTGTCACGTTTACCTGCTTCCAGTTTCATTTGATTCCTGATACTTAAATCTGGATTTTGGAAAGTTGTTGTGCTCGAGGGCTTGAAATAATTGAATTAATATAGCTTTTACTGTTGGTATAAAGTTCAAGGAGTATGATTCTAGGGAGAATATTGTTAGCTGATTAAAGGCATTAACATGCATGTGTGAATTTGTTGTTTGTGTTATATTGTAAACATAGATTTAGGATTTCATTTCCATCAGCGAAAGTGTATTGGTGGGACAGGCCTGTGTTCAACCACTAATACCTGCAACAATGCTTATACTATATTGTTTAAGTGTTTCATTTCCTTTTCTTTTTCCCCTTTTTAATTGGGTACTCGGATGGCTTTATCTACGTTAATTTTAGAATCAAGTATGAAGATTACTAAGCAGTAAAGTAATTACTTATATTTTCTTAAATCTTGATCTATTTTTTCATTGATGAATATTGCTTAAGTCGTTCTTCCTTTCGTAGTTTTCAAATCAGTAAAATTCTTATATTGAGAAGAAAATACCAAAATCTCTGGCATTTGCTTGCTTGCTTCACAAATTTGTAACTAGCGGAGCGGATTATGGTATATGAACTAAATACATTTCCCTCAACATTATTTCGCTGTCAAAATCTCTTAAATAACATTATCAATGTAATTGCAATGTTCAGCTGATGTTTGAATTCTCCAAATAGCGATTTGCAATTAAATACTTGTATGCATGTTACGTAATTGCCGCTTCTGCCATTGTTTATTTTTCATTCCCTCTTAAATCTTTTGCAGACAACCTCATCTCAAAGCAGCCTTTTTGATCATTTGATCAATGTTTGGGAGTTTAGCCCTGGGCCTGTTCCAGGAACCTGCAACCTTTATTTCTTAGTCGACTTCAAGTTCAAGTCGCCATTTTATCGACAAGTGAGTTTCTTGGGACAGTTTCAACTTTTTCACATTTCAGCTTTGAATATTCTTTGCGGGTGTAACTTTGTATTGCCATAATTTCTGGTTATCTGATTTTAGACGTTTCTTTTTGGTCTCGTAAATAACATACATCATTTTCCTCGTATCAGCTTACCAGGCTGGAAGAACTCTATTACTAGTATTTAGTAATGAATATCAGAGTTCTTGTGATATTTATCTGTGTTCCTATTTAGCATCTAAAGGAAAATATGGATCCTTGATTGGCTGTTACCACAATTATTATTGTCAGTATTATTATTGTTCATAAAAGTATTACCATCATTATTATGCATTAAAGTCATAAATGTCTGAAAAGTCCGAATATTTCCAAGAAAAGCCAATTCTGCATTTTCTGGAACATATTTTTGGGCTCTAATCGATGACCACACAAAATTTGGAACTAATGCATCGTCTGGAAAAGAAATGCATTTTCATTTCAAAGTTTGAAGTCCTTTAGTCAATTGCTTTCTTAATTTTCGATGAAAAAGTTCAACCATCCTTATCTGTGATGGTCACTGGATATGTCTGCCGCGACACATTAAAATAGTTTCAAATATGCTCGTGATAATGTGGCGTGACACATGTACAGAATACACCATTGAACAGATAGACCAAGTATACGGGAAAATACTATTACCAGTTGCCATTATTATGTCTAGATATGGAATGGGTATTTCTTTTTTCCTTCTCTGTTGTCTATATGTAAAAAAACAAAGTTGACTGTTTTCTGTTATTCATGTGATTTCTTCTTGCTCAACAGATTGCAGACATGTTCTTCAAGGAAGTGGTGTCTCGACTGGTTGGCTCGTTTAACGACCGCTGTAAACTGATATATGGGCCTGGCTTACCCATTCTTGAAAATACTTATGATCAGAGAGCATGAAATGAATGCTTTTGAGGTGGTGTTTTCTCCAATCCAGTTGTTTTTATACTTGTTCTATTGATTTTGTGGGAATCAAAGGTTACTTTTAGTAGATAGTGGAATTACTAATTAGTGTTTCTGTTGCTGCTGATGTTCTGAGTAGGTTTTCTGGTATAGAAAAATTTTTTGTTACTGGGAATTGGTGGGTTTGCATGTGGAGTTGAAACTTGGGATCTTTATTATCTTTTACATGCTGAACACTATACCAAGCTAATTTGAAACAGAGCTTAGTCACAAGTAGTGCTGTAGAGGTTTATGGAATGTTTGCAATTTGCACACACAGTAAAAGTGTTTTTGTAGTTGTAAAGTAGTGATCATAATAATAATAATAATAATAATAATGATAATAATAATAATAATAATAATAATAATAATAATAATAATAATAATAATAATAATAATCTATTCTATTTTATTATATAACAAGACAGAGGATTTACTTAATATATTAATGAAAAAATGCAATAAACATTTGACCACTTAATACTAAAAGTAAGTTGTTGTCACGTTTTGTGCTGGAGTCGGCGCAGATTTTTCTCTCAGCTCTTGCTCTATCAAATAAGGACTAAGTGTGTACCCGTGCGATGCACGGGAACAATATTAAATCCTCCCTATATATAATTACCGAATGCGTTGAGCTTAAGTGGTTGTTTCTGGTGCTTCGGAATCCTACTTGGCGAAGAATCATGCTTCGTAAGTAGGTTTGGACAAATAATATTGATATATTAAGAATTAATAATTTAGGTTCGGACATTCCATAAATATGATTTAGCTAACTTAGTATTTTAATATCACTTTTACTACTATAACCCTTTAATTCTTTGTAATTTTATATAGTGAGACACTAAGTGACTAATATATCCCTGACTTTTGATTTGTTTCCTTCAATTAAGAATTGAATTGTAAATTTATTTTAAAAGTTGATAACTTTTGTATTTCATATCGGTTTTACATATATGATATATCAAATTAATCATCTTTTGATGATCTTCGATTTGACATCCATATTGTATATATGAAATAAATAAATTATATATACCTTTATAATAATAAAAAAAATAATAATATTTATTAAAAATCATTAGAAAAATAAAATTATTTATCAATTGATATATTTATGTTTAATGTAATTATATGTTGTAAGTTAAAAAAATTATTATAATATAACACAGGTAAGTCGCACAAATAAAAAAGTGTCATACTAAATATATAATAATATATATATTTTTATAAAAGGTATTGAAATTTTCAATTAATTTTTCTCATTAATTTTATATTTTAAGAAAAAATTAGCAAGTACCCGTGTAATACACGGACGTTGTACTAGTTAACAATATTATAAAGAGACCTCAGTTTGAGTCACTCAATGGTGTAAGTGGAAACTACTATTGATCTTATTTAAAAAGAGGAAGAAAAAATTAATTATAAATTAAAGAGGAGGATAAACAATACTTAATAATATAAATTAAAAATTCGGGATCAAACAATGTAAAATTATTTTGTATAAGAGAATATAAATTTTACATTATTTTGTATAAGAGAATATAAAATTTGTATGTTTAATATTAAAAACACTTAAAATATTATATTAGTATATGTAAAAGTATTCGAATTTTCTATATTATTTTTGAAAGATGTGAAGTCACTTACAACTTTTTTAAACAATTTTAGAAGGAAAACATATCTAAAAATATTTGAATTTAACATTGTTTAATTTTTTTTTTATATTATTTTGTAAAAAAAACATGCCTACAAATATTTAAATTTAATATCAATTATGTATATGTGTATATGCATATATATATTTACGTATATATAGACGAATATGTAAAAAAAAATGCCTAAGCAATTTGTTTAAAGTATCTAAAATATTTTAAGCCTAATTTAATAAACACATTAGGTCAGATGATATCAAATTTATGGCGTTACTTCTATCTAAAAAATTTTGAGTACACAACTCAAAATTATTATTATACTTTTTTTACGTTGTTATCGAAGATGTATTGTTAGCTTATAATATTTGTAAAATATTAGTAATTAGAACGATGAAAATTAGTTTTTTAGAGTAGATAATGGATTTCTAATGGTAATTATGAATTGGTTTCTATTTTAATTTTTTATTTTTTTTAAAGATAATTAATTTCTAATAGTAATTATGAATTGGTTTCTATTTTTTTTTTTTTAAATCTGATAGATAAGTGATGAGATTTTTTAAACTTGTGAGACGTATGCAATGAGATTTTGTAACAAATAAGAGATAAGCTCGTGTAGATTTATGCTATGAGATTTTATAAGCTATCAATTAGTTTTTAATATGATTTTTGTAATGATAGATTTTTATATAATATCAACACAATTTGTTATTTTGTTAACCTATAAAATGGGAAAAAAGGAGCCATCAGAAAAACCAGCGCCGCATTTATTCATTAAATGATTTTGGCGGAAAATCATAAAAAAGTTATTCTTTTTATAAAATGGTAGATGCGTTTGGTAAGCTTGATAAAGGGGTGATATGACCCCATTTAATTAACTATTTCCTTATTATTATGTTTGGTTCAAACATGAAGAGCCCTTGAAAAAGGTAATGACCCACATTTAATCAAACATTTTCTCTCCTAGGTGGGATGTGTAATCCATCATTTCATCTCTATTTTTTCTTTTAAATTTACAAAGTAACCCTCATTTCTTCTCCTATTTTTTGCGAACATGAATGTGTCGACAACAAGCTAACCAAAACCCCCTTCCCTTCATCATCATCATCATCATCATCATCATCATCATCATCATCATCATCATCATCATCTTATTCTTCTTCTTTTATTTATTTATTTTTAATTTTTAGTAAAGCAACAACACTTTGGAGCAACATCTTTCATAAAGCAACAAAACCTTTTTTTTAAAAAAAAAAAAAAAAAAAATTCGTAAAGCAATAGAACAATAGTTCTTATATTCCCACATTTTCGATTTGAAAGTAAAATTGCGATAACAAGTGAGGGCAGTGGATTGGGGTTGAAGTTGGGTGGCTTCGCACATAAAATTTGGTGTAGGGAGGGGCGGGATTGGGGCTGAAGCTGGGTGGCTTTGCAAATTGCATAAAAAATTTGGTGTAGGGCGGGGTGGGGGATTGGTGTTGGGTGGATTTTCATAGTGAAGTTGCCTGCGGAGGTAGCGGACGGCGGAACGGTCGACGACAGGGTGCGATGGAGATGATGGTGGTAGAGGAATGCGATGAAGCAATAATTATGTAATTGTGTTCAGGGAAAATTCTAAAAATTGAATTCTGATTGAAGGTAGAAAATAGTTTCAACCTAAAAAATATAATTGTCAGCTATAATTGTCTCGCGAGCAATCTATATCTCCTTTTCCTTAAGGAAAGCGACATGATCTCTGGTCTGAGCAACAAGATGTTTCTTCAGGTCGAAATTATTCTTGGTCAGCTAGTTGTTCTCCTTCTTCATTTTTACTAGCTCGCTCTTGAGTTACTCGATAGAAAGATAAAAGTCACGCAGTTCTTTGTTAACCATAGGGACCACCGTGGACAAGAGCTGTAACACAAGAAAAATGTCAAGAAAATATTTCTTTAAGTTTCTAATAACAAAGGTCAGAAGATAATAATTAGACGAGCTCAAGCGTCAGCTGCATACTCAATCTGACCCTTGGGATCAGACACCCAACGCTTGGTCTCCTCGGCAGGAAGAACCTTCATCGGGTATGAGACAACATACAACTCGTCTTGACCCATCATTAGGGTGTCGGGCATGTTTAGCTCCATCCGACTGATCCAAGGCTGCTTCGGGCTCCGACCAGCAGCGATCGATATCGGTCGTTTTTTGCTGACGGATTTAGAAGGAGGAGGAGGGTGTGTATGGCTTGGCCCCCTGTTTTATGGGGGGAGGCCCGAGTGGTCCAACGGATTGAGCTCCACGGGAGGTCGCATGAGTTTTCTCCTTATTTCTAAAGGAGGTTGACTTCAAAGACGAGAACATAAAATATGTACAAAATAAATTTATTAGTTAGGTAAAAAAAGATAGAAAAATGCAGTGAGTTGTCTCTACCAAAACTGATGATATAAGTTGTTCTCCCCTTGGTAAAATACAATAATATAGGAGTTGTCCATGCTCGATTAGAAACATAGAATTCATAGGGATCTCGTTCCAGGACTCAATGAACGCTTCCTAAATGTTATCAGGTCGCGGGGTTGCAAGTCGGAAAGGAAGGTCAGTTAACAACTCAAAAAGAAAAGGATCAGAAGGTCGAAAATAGAAAAATTGGGTTTTCAAAGCACTAATGTTGGATGTGGGGTCTCTTATGAAGTTAGCATGATGACGAGCTGTTATGTAGGTAGTTACATTTTGAAATTTCACTCTGTGATACCTAAAAAAGTTAGTATTGAAGTGACCTAACCAACAATAACAAGTATCGACGAGACCATGCAATTCTCCTTTATTGCATCTCCCACTCACTGTTGCCTCTCATCATCAATTTGATTTTTATTTTTTTGTTTTTTTTAGAGACACCCAAATTAACCTCCAACCAAGTTAATTTTCCACATGCCAAATCAATTTTCTCCTCTCACAACACTCGACCGATTTCTCAGGACCCAGATGACAAATCATTCTTTTTTCAAAAGGAAAATTATCCCATTTTCAGCCAAATAAACCCTTTTGTTTTTTTCTCTCTCTCTCTCTCTCTCTTTTTTTTTTTAATCATCACTCTCACGAATTATATATGTATATTTTTTTTTTTTAACTCGATCACATAGCTCACACAACCTCACGAGTATATAAGATGTGTTGGCGCTTTTCAGATGTTGTCACTGCATTCTCTTATAAGATGTGTTGGCGCTTTAGGGAGGGTAAGTCACTTTGGGCCGATTATATTTGTCGGAAGTACTGTCCTAGAGACGCTGCCCACCCTTGTAAGGTGATAGCGACCGCCCGCGATAGTAGACAATGGAGGCGGCTCACCATGGTTGGTAGAGGTGCTCAGAAGCACATATTATGGATTCTGGGTGAGGGGAACATTAGCTTTTGGGATGAGTAGTGGTTTGGTGAGGGTTCCCTTTCGAGCACTAGACAGGTCACCCACCTTCCATTCTTGCAGGTGAAGGACCTATGGACGGAGGGGGATCGGGATAGGGATAGGTTAGAGAGGATTCTGGGTATTGTAGCGGGTTTTAGTGAACAAGTGATTTCAGATCCAACAGATACCCATCTCGGAGGACGATTTGGACGGTATGAGGTGGCGACTTACATCATCGGGTCCATTCTCTACGACCTCGGCTTGGGAGGAAGTACGGCTGGTTGATCGACTAAACCTTCTCTTTAGGGCCATCTGGACCGACCTACTTACCCCGACCATCTCTGTTTTCCTATGACGCCTTCTTCTGCGCCACCTACCGATTGATACTGTGATGCAGACGAGGGGATTTTCCTTCCCCTCTCGTTGCTATTGTTGCGCTGAGCCCGGAGATTTCAGACTGAGACTTTTACCCATTTGTTTCTTGAGAGCGAGAGTGTGGGAGCATTATTCCAGTTACACCCATATACCCCTACCCATCATAGATAACTTGTTTGAGCTTTTGAGTTTTTTCACACAGAGCACACACAATAGGCACGTGGGCTTCTTTATTCCTTGTCTAATCCTTCGATCCATCTTGACAGAAAAGAATAATGCGAAGCATTGGGAAATTTCTTTTTTTTTTTGTGTTCCCATATTATTTTGTAGGTTGACAGACATCTGTCTCTCCTCACCGCTCTGGGCAGACTCACGCCGAGAGAATGGACAGGCTGTACGCCACCTCATCGCTTTGCACCATCTCCACTGCTGCCTGTCCAGCATCAACGCACCAGAGCCGTGGTTTGGCTGAGACCCGAGCCTCCTTAGGTTAAGCTAAACACTGATAAATTGTTTGATCGACTTACCGGAGCCTCTAGAGGTAGAGGCCTGATTAGGGACCATAGCGGTGCTCTTATTACCGCTTTCCATGCCCCTCTTTGGGCCTCCTTGAGCTATGATGCAGAGGTTTAAACGCTTCAAACCGGTCTCCAGATTGCTGCCTCAATCTCCTCTAACATTTGGATAGAGTTGGATGTTGTCGTTGTCATTACTCTCTTGACTTTGTCCATCAGGGCAAGTGGCAGATTCAGCATCTTCTCATGTGTATTAGAGCAACAATTCAGTCGATTCGATTTCAGATCTCGCACATCTTCAGCGAGGGGAAACGAATTGCTGACTTCCTCGCTGGTGGGGGTCCTCCATCCCCCAGAGGCACATTCTTTATCCTAACGATATTCCTCTACGCCTCTGTACCCTTATATGGATGGACCAGATGAGATACCCTTCATTCATATTTGTGTAGTCGGTCCTACCTTTTGGTGCATCTGCTCTCATGTGATGCTGAATTTTCGCCTGGACTCTTCCCGGACCAGGATCTGATACTTTTGTGTTACTTGCTGCTGTTGTCAACTTTTTCTTATTTCTGTTTTTGTCTTCGTTTGAGTTGATGTATATCAGACATTGGACTTATGACTTTTCAGCATATTTAGGGCCTTTTTATATACAGGTGGGGTTCCGGCCTTAACCCCCCATCCTTATTTTTTTTTTTATTATTTTTTTTAAGAACAAGACACACGATCAACTCATGTCAATGAAAGCACTAATGATGAAGATTGTGCATCGTGACTCGACTTTGTGTAAGAATCCGCGCTAACAGCCTTGGTTCGAACATGATAAAATGTGTAAACCCGCGCTAACGGCCTTGGTTGACACAATAATAAGTGAAAAACCTGCGTGACCTCAATTTTTCACGAAGAAAGTACTCGAAAACAAGCATTTTTTTAAACTTTATTTCATAAAACTTGCCTCGTACAAGTTCATTTTCTAGTCTTTAAATAGTAAAAAAACAACATTCAAATATTCAAATTATCGTAACTAATCATTCAAACATTTAAACTATAACTAACATAATTATCCTATCCAAATACTTAACTAACACAACTACTCCCGCCGCGCTTCCATGTTACACGTGAAACTGATGCTGGTGCCCAGTTGGCCGGCTTGCTTGATGTGCATCAGTCCGTTAGGACGTCAAAACTCAAAAGGCAAACTTTTTCACCAAAAGGTCGAGCTAGGACACAAGGATAATCTGACGAAACTCAACCTTGAAATGGAGAGACTTATGGAGGACCTCAAAGGTAGACTGGCTCCGCGAAGACCAGAATGATTAAATATAGAAGGAATCGAGTTGTTAGTTCAACTATACCTAGAAAAACTACCTACTATATGGACACATCCGATAAGAGATAAGTATGAACACGATTAGGATAAGAATAACACGTGAATAACATAATGGCTTGGGCGGTTCGCGCACTGGGACAATGAGATTGGGCAACCCGGGCAGCAAGATCGGACAAATCTTGGGCAAAAAGATAACGAGTTTTTATAAAGGGTGAAGTATGATTATCATTCTATCTCCACACTCTATGAACATTCTAGTTACAATACATCATCTATATTATCACTCCAAAATATTGATTTGAACGTCAGAGCTTTTACGTCGGGACAACTCCGACACTATTTTGCAGGTTATTCTACTAGTTGAAAGAAGTATCAAAAGATGTCGAACCAGATCGATTTGTTTGCAAACCAATGCTACTAATTTAAAATATAACTGTATTCTTATTTTAATAACATCATTTATTATTTGTGTTCATTTATAATATAGTAAATTAATCAGTCTCTGTATCTTAATTTTGACATATTTTATATATAAAATAAAAATGATATATCTACTTTTTAAAAATATTAGTAGATTATTAAAAAAAATAAATTACAATTTATTATATAAATAGATTTATGGATCAAGGATATTATATTGTACAAGTTTAGTGATTTATTATAACAAGGACGAATAAAGTTTACTATCAACGGGCATCATTTTAAACACAAATAATACTATAATTGCTTAAAACTTTATTAAATTCAAAATCACACACACATATATATTGGAAGTACTCTGTCTCTGTTACTTGCTCGATGGCCACTGTGGAGATGAGTTGTTTCCGGGAGCAGCGGTGGGTTTTGGGCGAGGTGAGGTGCTGCGGGAAGGGGTTGGGTGCGGCTCCGGCATCTCTCGGCCTCTGGCTGGAGTGGCTAGACCGACTTCTTCGAATTTTCTCCCTTCCCAGGTTCTCTGGTTCCTTCTAGGGATACTCACCGACTGGTACGGTGTTGCTAGTGGTGTTAGTCGACCCGGAACAGTGATGGCTGGGTACCCTCTCTGGAGCGGGGTCCTGGGAGTTTGCCGTTGGTACTGGGTTGCTAGTGGTGTTAGTCGACTCGATACTACGGCGTCTGGAGCTATCTGGAGTTTGCGGTTTCGGGGAGAATCGACATTTCTGGGTATCTTGATGCGTGGGATCCGGCCCAGCTAGGTGATTTGCAGTGGAGGGGTCGGTGTTCTTGGGCTGAGGGATTCTCCAAGGTCGATTTGGTGTCTGCTGGTTCGTCTCGGATATGCTTCTGTGGAAGAGCTTGGATATTTTTTGTTTTTGTGTTTAGTGTTTATGTTGTTCAGTTGTTTGTGTTTGGTTGTCTGTGTTGGTATTGTGTAGGTGCTTGTGTTTGGTTTGGGCCGTTGGCCTCTGTAAGCCTGAGCGGGAGCACCTTGATTCTCCTGTTGGGAGCAGCTCCCGTCTCTATTCTCCTATTGGGAGCTTGATAGTTTTTCTTTGTGTTTTGTTGTGTTCATTGTCTTGTGAGTCTTGTTTTAGTTTCTAGCGTCGCTGGCGTCGAGATTCTAGGCGGTCTACAGACCTGTCCTCCCATTTTATTCAGCTTTTGGTTGCGTTTTATTCTCCCGTTGGGAGCTTTGTATTTTTATTCGCACATCTGTGCCCTTGGTTTTTAATAGATCCTCTATCGTTTCGGCCAAAAAAATATATATATATTGGAAGTATAAATTTGTTAATTCGAATATTCTATTATATTATGCATGTGGTGCTATATAATAAATTGCGAAAAATACTACGGTTCCGTTACTATCTCATTGGGTGTTTTAACCGTTGGATCATCTAACTACACGTGGATCCAACGGTTAAAACACCCAACGGGATGGTACCGGAGCCGTGGCATTTTGGCATTCATTTCATGTACTTGAATGAATAAAAGAAAGAGAAAAAAGAAAATGTACCTTGAATTGCGTGCTTGGCGCTGGCAGTTGCTGCTCTCCCTCGTCACCTACACTCTACCCATCCTCTAACCCCCTTTTTTTTACTACTACTCTCACATTTCTATTTAATGGCCATCAATACAATCTCAATTCGCACTCTCTCTTCCCCCATAAAAATCAGTCGTCGCCATCACAACCGCCGCATTTTAGCAAAGCGTCGGCCATGGCGAACTCCACTCAGCTGAAATCCGATGCTTTAATGGAGCAGATGAAGCTCCACATGTCCACTGATGCTGGGAAACAACTTACGAAGAAAATCGGTCTTGTTTATCAGATCAATATTGCACCTAAGGTTTGATTTATCCTTTCGATTTTTAGGGAGAGATTTGTTCTGCAATTTGGTTTCTAGGTTACGTTTTGTTTATTTAATTTACCGTGCTTTTTTTTTTTTTTTTTTTTTTTTTTCTTCCCTTTAATGGCAGAAACTTGGATTCAACGAGAAGTCATTCGTAGTTGATTTGAAGAAAGGGGAGGTGAAGGAAGGTTAGGGTTCTTACTTTTGCCTCATTTTCTCTGTCTAATTTAACCTTTTCATAAGTTTTTTTTTTTTTGTTTGGTTGATTGAGTTCTGCTAATTTCTTTGATTTCTATCGTTGTGGGGATGCATAATTGCCTTTGATTCTGTATGCAGGATTATTGATATTTAAAGAGTTTGATTAATTTCTCGGTTTAAGACTTTGAATTATGGCTAATTATTAGTTCAAAAACTTTGTTTAAAATCTTAAAAAGTCATGTACTTACAGGGATCTATGAAGATGGGAAGCCAGATGCAACATTCTCCTTTACTGATGACGATTTCGTCAAGGTTGCCAGTGGGAAGATGAATCCTCAGATTGCTTTCATGAGGTGCCCATATTTTACTATACTCGTTTTTTTATAGATTGCATGCTTTGTTTTGATCGAAAAACGTCGAAGTAAAATGCTGTTCGAACAATTTAGGGGCGCGATGAAGATAAAGGGTAGTATCAGTGCAGCACAGAAGTTTACCCCCGACATTTTCCCGAAGCCGTCAAAGATGTGAGCTGTGTGGATGCCATGTTCAGCAGTACCACCGATTCTAAGATACGCCTTGTTTGATCTGCTTTAGCTGATTTTATTCTTACTTATTGAATTTGCCATTTTCTTTTATACCGTCATCTCTTGTTGTAAAACATGATGTTTTTGCGCTTGGTAATAATAAGGCTCTCAATTGCCAAGTCTTTAAGAAACATAAATTTCATGCCTCGTGTCTTATGTACCAGTCTATACGTGTTTTGTTGGATGGTTTTACAGAAAGTCACTATCTTCCCTTGTTTTGAATGCTGCTTGAGTTATTACAAGCATCCATTGAGGTTTGTGTTCCCTATACGTTTGCTTGAGTTCTTTGATGAATTGGTTCGACTTGGTGACCTACTGACATAGACTGGTTGTTCCATTTATCTACTTCTTTATGATAGTGTTTTCAACCCATAAATGTAAATATTCCAACATCATTCAATCAAACCAAAAAGACAGTAATGAAGATCCCGAAGGGGAAAGGATTCAAAACGTTTTATTCAATTTCCAGAAATGTATAGATGTTTTTTACACAACATTTTACAACCTCTGCAAGCCTCAACATGCTATAAATCATTCCAATCCTTTAACTCCAGAAGTTATTTAGTTTGTTATACACACACCAAAAAAGAAAACAAAAATCTGATCATGTATTGCAAGTAAAATATCACTCGTTTAAACATAAAAAAAATAAAAATTGTGAAAGAAAGATGTCTGTGGTCAAGTCAGATAAAAGCATTCAGGGACGGTATGGAAGATGTAATTTGTATGTAGCAATAAATCACATCAGCCCTTCTTACTCCCCTGTGCCTTCTTTCTCTTTCTGGCTAAGAACATTCAATCCTTTTTAGTCCCATGTGCCTTCTTTCGGGCTAAGAACATGAAAATCCTGGGGAAAAATGATTTCTTCTTCTTCTTCGTACCCTTTACGTCTGACAACGCTTCTTTCTCCTTCTCCTCTTTGCTCACTTGTGCTCTTGGGCTCGACCTCTGATGCAGAGTCGAGGACTCCGCCACGCCAGAGAAACTCTTCTTGGGGCTCGTGAGCGGGCTCTTGCTCGTGTTGACAGGCTTAGGCCCGGACTGATCGGCCTTCCTTTTCTGTTCGTGCTCAGCCCGCCACTTCCTCAGCTCCTGCTCCACCGCCAATTTCCCCTCGATCGCCTGTTCAGCTTTCAATTGCGCAATTTCCAGCTCATCCTTTTTGGCGGACATCTCCCTGCTGACTTCCTCCAGCTTATTCAGGCTCCTGAGCTCGGACTCCTTGGCTGCTTCGACTTGAGAAACAGCAGCCGCCACGCGGGCATTGGCCTCCTCCTCGGCCTCGTGGGCCCGCTTNNNNGTACTCCTCCAACGAGACAGTGACTCCGGACATATCATCGTCCTCGTCGGCCTTCTTAGCAGCAGCGGCTGACTCGCTCTCCTCAAGCGCGCTGATTGCCGCAAGCGCCAACCTCTCGGAGGCCTTGGCTGCTTCGATCTCCTTCTGTGCCGCTCTCAGCTGGCTCTCCTTGGCCACTTTCCCCGCCTTGGCCCGTTCGGCCTCCTCCCTCACCTTCTCGGCCTCCTCACGGGCCTTCTGGACCAGGGCCCTGGCATCTTCAGCCTCCCGGGCTGCTTCCTCAAGCTTCCTGGTTAGATCCGCCATCTTCTCACTCTCCTCCTCCTCCTTGGCCCGGATTATGGCAATCTCCGAGACCGTCGTGTTCAGCTCGGCCTCGATGGACGCAGCCTCTATCGATGCCATGCCTTCCCTCTGCTGGACCCCAAGCAGCTCCATTTTCTCCCTCTCCAGCTCAAGTTTCAACGATGCTGCTTCCTCTCTCAACATGTTCACTCCCTCCGTCGTCCTCTCGATTTTGAGCCTCACCTCCTCAAGCTCCTCTTTCGCGGCTGCGACTGCGGCCTGGATGTCACCGCGGGTCTTCTTTTCCGAAGCATTGACTTTCTCCGTCTCCATGTACGCCGCCAGCTCGGCCTTGAGGCCGTGCAGCAACGATGTGGCCTCGTCGAGCTTTGACTTGAGATCCCTCGTTGACAGCAGCGATGTGTTAAGGCGCTCGATCTCGTCCTCAGCCTGCCGCAGCTCTTCCTGCCAGCTGAGGGTGTCCTGCTCCTTTGCCATGACGGCCCCGAGGCGGTGCTCCTCGGCCTCAAGGTGCTCCGAATGGGCAGACTCGAGGGACTGCTTGAGAGTGATGAGCTCGATGGTGAGGTCCTCGACCGACCGCTCGACCTCCTTGGAGATGGACACAGCCTCTTCGGCTTTTTGAGCGGCGGCTTCCTTCTCGGAGATGAGGAGGGAGTAGTCCTTGCGGAGCTGGTCGAGCTCGTCGTGGACGGTCTTGAGCTCGGAGACGGCGGCGGAGTGGCGGGCACGGGCGACCTCGAGCTGGGCCTTGGCGGCGAAGCTAGCCTCGTCGGCTATGCCTTGCTCCATCTCATCGAGGCGAAGGTTGGCGAGCTCGGCATCCTGCTTGGCCTGTTGTTCTTCCTTCTGCGCTCGCTCCAGGTTCAGCTTTAGCTCCTCGATCAGACGCTTGGTGCTGTCGAGCTCTTTGAGGACTTGGGCCTTGGCCTCCTCAGCTGCCTCACACTGCTGCTTGTAAGTTGGCATCTCTTCCTGCGCCTTCTCCAGCTCTTGCTCGATAAACTTTCGTCTCTGCGTGCACAAACATAGTTTTGCGAAAAATCGTGGGCTCCGGTGGGAAGAGGAGAGTAAAGAGCAATACTGAATTTAATCATATATACCTCCACAGTCTGGACACGGTGGGCTTTCCAGTCGACAATGCCTCCAAATTTCGAGACGGCAGCCTTGACGGATTCGAAAGGCGCTGCCGTATCGATTTGACCTCTGCTCAAGGAAGAATTACTAGACAACTTGGATCGGGCTGAAGCTGACGGGCTGTTACCATAATTGGCAGGAACTTTGGCGACGAGATGATCCATGCTAATGGCCCTCCTATGATGAGGGGACGGCACAAAGGGTATGAAATCGTCCTCGGGAGTTGGCCTCGCGACAATCTTGGGCTCCGTATTTTCTTCCTTTCCAGGCTTTTGAGTGGCGGCCCCATCGGAGGCCTCATAACTGGACTGGGCCGGGCCATGATCTGATTTTGGTTCTCCGTAGGATGTTTCGTGATGATCATCGTGACTTTGTGGAGGCTCTTTGTTTCCGACGAGCGAGATGCTCATATCAGGCACGTCGGGATCCTTCGCTGAAACTCCCTTGCCGCCACCGACGACCGGCGAGAACGAAATGAGATTTTCTTCGGGCTCTGGTTTTGGAACATTCAGATTGCCGTTATTGGGCCGGGTCGTTGAACCGGAACTGTACGGTTCGTCTGTGGAATCTGCAGAAGGAGAGTGGGGAGGTCCGTTTTCTTTGAAATTCTTTTCACTTTCCATTCTGGTAAACAGGAAATTGCAACGAGAGGACGATCAAGAACCTGAGACAGGAAAGAATGGCGACAAATCATGATTAATTAGAAACGAAAAAGGCTTATTAAACAAATCACAAAAAAAAAAAAAAAAATCACCAGAAACGACAGAGAAACAGAGGTCAAAAGAATGAGAAACTCCCCAAAGTATTATCGTGAAAAGCCAAAAGCTTTTTATTTTCTCTGCACCCCAAAATAAAAATAAAAAAATTAAAAAAAAATTGATATTTTAATTTTAAAAATGAGAGAAGTGTACGGACAGAAAGATGGACGGCAAAAGCGGCATTGTGTATTTGTATGTGTGGTGTAAATAATGATTTGGCTAATGCAGTAACACGTTGATGGAGCCTAATTTTGGTGAGGGTCACATACTAGAAGGAGATCCGTTAAATGCATACTATTTTACTAAAGTTAGCAAATAAATTTATTTATTTTACAATCTAATGTAGTCTAATTACGAGTAATGCTCACCTACCCACGATAGACACATGTTAATATGCTCACCGCTTATGTGGCATGCACACATTGGTGATGTATTTTTTTTTAAAAAATATTAACATCACCAATGTGTACATGCTACATAAGCGGTGAACATATTAACATGTGTCTACTGTGGGTAGGGGAGTATTATCCGTCTAATTACTTATTGAATAATATAATGTAGTAACACTTTGATGGAGCCTAATTTTGGTGAGGATAACATACTAGAAGTAGATCCATTAAATACAAATTTTACAATCTAATGTAATGTATTTACTTATTGATTAATGTTTATATGATGTATTTATTTACGTAGACTATTTAAATCATATATTCGTATATTTATTTTGTATAATATTATTATTTTAATATGTATATATGTTAATGTAAAAAGAGATTAATAATTACCACTGTACTAAAAATCAGTCTGGGTGGCCGCTTAGGTGCCACTTGATCGCCTTCGATTTGCATGAATCGGTTGAAAAAATGGGCCAGGCGGGCCTCGGTAGACCTAGGCGGCCAGGCGGCTGGCGGCGCCTAGGCGGACCTAGATTCTCCTACGCGAGCTCGATGACAATTTTTTTATTTTTTATTATTTTTAAATACTAATTACATTATTTTGTTATATTTTTTTTTTATAATGTAATTAAATAAAAATGAAGTAGGATAACCCAAATTACAAAGGAACAAATTTAAACTTGAAAAGGACTTTTATGGTTCTCGAAGAATGAGGGACAAGGGGATTGATCGAGAAAGATCTCTTGTTCTTATTATAAGATCGTGGTTGGATCCTCCGTTTGAACTCCCAGAAGTAGAAGCTGAAACGAGGAAGCTATAAACATGAGATAGATTTACCAGTGTAATATTATTATTTAGACTTTGGTGTGGGGATTTATTATAAGTTGAGATAATTTTATTTTGTACGTAGTGAAAATAAATGAAAAAATAAGGCATTTAATCTTAATTCCTAGGAGCTAAGACTTCTAGAACACTAGTATTTACACATAGTTGAATATAAAATCATCCACATTAAGTGGATACTAATTTAGGAAAGTTGACAAATACATACATTTGAAAATATGATGTATTTACTTATCAATTAACTAGTACGTGGCCCGTGCGATGCATGGGAACAATACTATGATTGTATTGCAAATTAAATTTATTAGTAACGTTAAGCATGATTTACCCGTTGTTTCCAAAATTGGACCGGAACAAACAATCGTACCGTATGGACCTGGAACTGGTTTATCGACCAATTCGGTTCGCTTGAATAAATTTGCTAGAGAACCTATCAACTCTAGTCGGTTAGACTGGTAGTATCAATACGATTTTTTTAAATAAATTATGTTACATTTAAAACTATTTTTAATATAAATAAAAATACATACTATTTGTACTTATAAATCATTTATAATTTAGTTTAAAGTTGAAATTTTTTTAATTGTTCATATATTTAGTGAATATTTTTTAATAAATTCAATTTAAATTCTGATGCAACTAATAAATTATTGAATAAATAACTTGATCGGTTTGAAAAAGGCCCGCTCCTGAAAACTTTGAATTTAGCGTACATTAATAAAGTTATAATGCAATATCATTTTGTTCAAAAAAAATATTTATAAAATAATATATAAGTGTTCATAAATCCTTGAGCATGTTGTCATAAAAGCATTCTTAATAGGATTATTTGGAGTATGAACTACACTAGTAGATATCTTGTGCACATGCACAGATGTACATAAAATATTAGTAAGTAATATTTGAAAATTTAATATTAAATTTCTAGATAATGAACATATTACATTTCAAAATTTTGATCATCCGGAAAAATAAATTAACGATTTTATTATTATGAACAATTGTTTATTATCATTAGAAAATAACAGTTTATTATTATTATTATTATTATTATTATTATTATTATTATTATTATTATTATTATTATTATTATTATTATTATTATTATTATTATTATTATTATTATTATTAAACAACAATTGTTTATAAGCTTCTAAAGTTGTTTGACTATGCTATTAAAACAATTCACTAATGGTTTTAA